CAGGAACTCATCGTGCACACACTCTTCATTTGGCCAAATGCAAAGCAGAAGATAGAAGATTAAGCTGCTTTCACAGTAAAAAGCAATCCCACTGACTTTAGCTGAAGTTTTGTCCAAGTAGGAAAAACAGAGCTAGGCCATTCGAAGGTTGCTTAACATCAAGGATTTTAATTTCATGATTTTATAAAAATAAGTATTTTAGGTACTTAAAACTGAATTATTCCTCTGCAAATTCTGTGTCATTTTGATATGAAATATGCTTGCAGAACCTTATTAGCTTTATGCCCGGTAGACAATACAATGTTTTCTTAGGTAAAGGAATAGCAGTTAATTGTCATGAGTTTACCTTGAAAAATTTAATGACTAAAGAGGGTTTCCCTTTGCTGTTTTGAAAAGGCAGTAACATATTTTAAGTGTTCAGGAAAAGCCTTTAAAGAATTTTCTCACGCACCAAGTAAAATCTAATCTACCACCTTTGATGACAGTGTAGCAGAGGCACATATGCATAGCATGAACCTGCTTTATACTAATACTCTAGCAGTATCCTCACATTTCTAAAAATGGTGCCATTTGCATGCTTCAGAACATATATATTCTTGTAAATCTCCATTGGTTTGTATACAGAACTTAAATGCCTAGACTCAAGCTAATGAAGTTTCCCTACAGTGCTTCTGTGGGCTCATATACACTGGGTATATCGGTATCCTTTCAAGCAAAACAGTACAGAACAAAATAGAAACCTTCATATTTAGCCTTTAAAATTCAAATATAGACTACTGCCAGATTCTTGGTTTGTCAAATCCTTCCCAGTTTTGAAAAACCCAGCTCATATCGCTCAGATGAATTAATGGTTCTGATGGTTCACCTTTGATGTCAGACAATACAAGATGAGCTCTTGACCAAGTTGATCAGATCACCATAATGTCTAAAACTTCTGAGTGAGTTAGATCGTCTTATAATAAAGACAACAGACTAAATTATATGAACTGCATGAAATTAGGGTCCATGAATACAATAATCCCACCTCAGATGTACAAAGAAAAAAGCTGACAGGTGAACTACAGGTGAAAGTAATGCTCTAAAGTCTTCCACACAAATACTTGCTTGAAATTAAGGATTCACTAGAAGCAAACTTCTCATTCTTGGGTCTCATGCTTATACGTAAATAATGGCAGCCTTCATATCAGGTTTGCACCAGCAATCATTTCTCTTAAGTAGAGAAGATCTGTCAATCTTTTCTATAATACAACCCTACTAAAACCAGCAAAGGCTCTTTAGAGAGGGAGAGATGTGAATGATTAAAAAAAAAATTCACGGATGCACACAGTACATTCTCCTTCCATAACAGCTAACAGCAGCAGCAAGAAGTATGAAGAAAATGCACTTTAACTGCATGAAAATAGACTAGTAGGACAATGCCACAGATGAAGCATGATACTGCCTTCACAAACAGAGCACCCAAACACACAAACACTGGGTACTTTGCGAGTAATGGTCAAACAAAAGGTTTGCATGTTACTGGATACAATTACAAAAGCAAGGAAAAGAATGGATTGAAAAAAGTGAATGATGAGTCTGTTGTGGACTCCCAGGCACCTGCCTCACATTTTTTCTGCTGTGTTGTGTAGGGAAGATTGGATATCAGCTGCTCAGACTATTTTCTTTGGGCACCGCCAGCAGTAATGGCCAGCAGTATTGTCATTTAGACAAGTCTCTCATACTGTCACAGCCTGTCTTTGCATTGCAGGCAGTGAAGGCAGAGAAGACAGACGTAAGTCTCAATTTCATAATTCCCAACCCCCAGAAGCTGGACAGAAATTAAATGAGTAGCAAAATTGATTAAAAGGAATAGGCAGGATGAAATCAGACAGTGTGCCCACAGCCAGCTCTGGACTGAGAGCCTATGACAGGACAAGGGTGGATTGTTTTCAATAAAATCCCAAGTTTCTAGATGTGTCCAGTACATTTAAGTTTTACCAATTTCATCTGAAAAGTCAGATTAGTTGGATATGGTTCACACTGTTATTAAAACACACTATTAGGCTGTCTTACACCAGTGGAACCCAACAGATGCAAATACGACCAGCAGAACTCAACAGGGCCCCTTGTTTACCAATCTACCACTTGGAAGACACCTGTATTTCATTAAGGTGTGATTTTTAATGATTCATAAGTGGAGACTAAAAATCAGCAGACACTTCTTTTACATCAATACAAGCATTTTAAAGAGCCTGCAAATGCTGCCAAAACAGCCAAGGGAAAGCTCTGCAGTGGGGTACACCCAGCAGAGGCAAGTCAAGAATTGCCTTCAGCTTTCCAACACACACAGCATAACCCCAACAGAAAGAGTGCTGCTGCATGAAACTGACAGCCAGCTGTGCTTGCTCAGCTTTTTGGAGAATGACAATCTCAAATCTCTCACTCCTTTCAGATCCAACTGTGTCACACGATCTGCTGAGCATCCAACAGAATTAACTTCAAGCAGATAAACTTTCAGTCTCTGGGAAATAGACATCACCTTTTTTGAAGAGATCTCCTTCAAGGGGCCCAAAGAAAAGCTCAAGATTAAGGGGACTATACTCTTCTTTCCCCAACAAGGGTATCACCACTAGTAAATCTCCACTGAGCAGACAGCAAAGGCAAGCTTAAAACTGAAAAGTGCAACAGAGCAGGGCCATACAGGCGACCACACAGGACCTCAGCATGCCAAACGTGCCTTGTTGTGCTGCCTCTTGGAAAACAATGTACTTCAAGGTTTCCAGCATACAGAAGGAACATACTTCACATATACTCATGGTCATTGTGGAATTCTTAAGCTAGCAGCAAGGTACTGATGCTAACGGGCATCCACATGCAGAGACTATCAGCTTCCTACTGCCCCAGAAGGGCCTGAAAAACTCCAGTGAATGGTTCCTGTATAAAGCCCAACTGCTTAATCTTGCACACACAGCATTGGTCCAGCTGCAACTCCCAGTCACCCCTGCAAAAACTATACAAGTCAATGGATGACTTATGAACAGGATCCAGGAATTACCCATCTCTAACAGTCTTATCTGCACGATGGCTCAACACCCACTGCACTGCAATGTGACCACAGACTTAAGAGATGTTTCACCCCATGGGATAAGCACATACGTGTCAAATACATAAATAATCCCACAAAGCCTCAAGTATTGCATGTACTTTTGATGTCATATGTGTGCCCAAGCACCTTCTTGAATCAGACTCTGAAAAAGACTATCAACATATTTAGGACCAAGGTGAGTGGGAGTCTAATTAATGAAATGAACAAATGAAAAAAAAGGTCAAGGAAAGATAGGGACTGAAGCAACACAATAAGCAAGCATAAAGTACTGTTAGCTACTATGTTATAAAGTAATAAATACAATGGAATAATAATATAAAGATGACAGCTCAAAAGCTATCTCCATCCAAGCCAATATTACCATGTTCATGATCCAATCAAGAGACAGAATTTCTGCAACCTAGTAGTAAAGGCAACACAAGTGTCAGGTTCTCCTCTTCCCGTAACAGCCCAAAAGAACAGGCTTTGGCCATCAACTCAGAGGGGCGAGTAGAAGCCACACATCTGATAGATCTGTCAGAGCTCTCTCCCAATCCCAAAGAACAAGCACTGACTGTGTTCACAGGGAGCACGTCAGAGCAGTGAGATAGAAATTACACTTCCAAAAGAAGTCAAGGCTCCCGTAATATACCTGAAAGCAGTCAACCCAAGAGTGAGGATTTTACACAAGGCAATTTCCCTTCAGATGCTTGAGACTGTTTCAAATCAGACCATATAATGTGACAATCAGGTTATGCATGTGTGATGGTACTATCCATCATTCTTTGTTTCCTCCTAAAAAACAATGTCCTTCTGCAGAGTGATAGCAGAACAATTACCTCTAATATTTGGGAAGCATTTTACATTTTAAAAGCAATGAACAGAAAAGCACAATGTATTCATACAGAGGCCATAAAATAGATCAGACATGAGAAGAACATTGAATTTGGAAAAATAATCACAATGAACATTAAGTATTTTTATGAATCATAACAGCATATGCACTCAGGTGCTTTAAATTCATTTCAATGTATTGAATAATATACTTCTCTATTAACAACATACTCTAAATAGAAAGGTAGCTTAAATGTAAAATAGATTGCTAAGGCAATAGTTAAAAATTTAATTGACAACAGTAGGGCTATAATTTCAATCAATTTCAACCTACTAATAAATTCTTTGGAGATATAAAATAATTTAGTAACAGTATTATTTAAAGTGTTGTTGTTCTACATAAGCTTCAAACTTATGAAAACATTTCCATTTAAAAAATGAAAACAATATTTACTTGTTCAGACAGCACATTGAATACCTTTTCACCTCAATTCAGATAGACAAAAGTTTATATATAATGATGCTTACTCACCTGACTTAAAAAAATGAGTCTGCTGATAAATTTGAAAATAAAAACTATTATAGAATATTTACATAACAGTCACTGAGACAAGAATATTGGAAGCAGAACAATTAAAGCACAAGTCTAAAATGCCATCTAAGAAAGTGGCTCCAAGATATTAAGGAAGAGAGAAGCAAACCATTTAAGCAGCAAAATTTCTAAAATAATCCAAGAAGGTGCTTTTTGCCCTTGATTCCAACTGACTGTAAAGATTGCTCAACCCATTTTAGGACTAAGCAGTTGATGCCAAATGAGGTATTTTTGCTGTGATGGTTAATCATGACAACTGTTTTTGCTGCCTGATCTAATAACATCACTCATGTTGAATTTCAAACAGAAGACATCTCATGACATCTTTAGGCCTAATTTGAAACTATAGCTCAACCTGGAAAATTAAAATTACTCTCCTACAAACCACAATCACATTAATTTGCCAGCTGAAAAACCCAGAAGAACGACAGTAACACAGTTTCCTAATCAACAGGAAAGTCCCTCCTTCGAGCACGCTGGTCAGCATGTCACTGCAGTGACTATTCTTACCTAGTCCTATTCTGCTGGGACTCGTCTCTCGACTGCACCCCTGGCTCCGAGGGATCTTGCTGCGCTTCTCTGAAGAGGATGGCACTGGCTGGACTCTGGATGTTCCACTGCTCAGGCCACCATAGGTGCTTCCTAACAGCTTACCCGGAGAACTAGACCGGCTACCAGCTAGAAGAGAACCAGAAATAACGAAAAAAACCAATTAAAAAACCCCAAGATTTTAAAAATTCTGACAGCAAAACTGGAACACAATCAGCTCTAGCTAAGAATTTGACCCAAATCACTCAGAAAATTAATAGCAGTGTTCTCCACGGGCTTTTGAGGAAGACTGAGGAAAGCCCATGGACAACAAACACTGACATCAGGAACCCTGCCTATATGAACCACACTGCCCAGCTGGGATCCAGACCAAAGCAGACACTGCAGTGTGTGAATACCCCAGTTAGCTTTATGTGCCAGGAGCAGCCTTGCTGCAGCAGCATGGAGTTGACAGGCTGCTTCACCTCCTTGCAAAGCAATGTAAATTAGCCTGTGTGGAGAGCTATGCTGCAGCATGCTGGCTTCTGGCATTGGTAACCTGCTGCAAAGTAGCTCAGGCATCTTCATGCTACACTGCAGTGGTGGCATTACTTCCCTGCAATAATTCAGTGATGAAAAATTTAAAAAATACCATCTCAACAGCAGCAGATCAGCACAACAAAGACTAAACCAAGTAAGCCTGTCACATTTGTAGAGATGCTGACTTACTTAGCTCTGATTAGTTAAACCTAGGCTATTTAGTTATTTTTGAGCTGGAGAAAAATTTTTACTACGTTGAATAGTGGGCCTTTTCTATTTTTCCTTGTCTGTTTGAATAGTCCATTTCTTCCAAGCCATGTTGTCTGCAAGACAGTCTACTAAGCAAGATTTATTTAAATATTTACATTCCAGCTGCAGCAGATATTTCCATCTGAAACGGTCTTGCTGTTTAACTCAATGAACTGAATAATACTTTTCTTTTTTTTTTTTGCTATGGATCTTCATTTAGTAAGTTGTTAAAAAAATCAAGTAATGCTAGCTTAAAGGTAATCATAAAGAACTGCAAGAGTAATAGATTCAAGACTCTTTTTTGCTTCTTCAGGTATATAAAAGTCACTGAAAATTTGCTGCTGATATTACTATTCCTGACATTCAATTTGTTTGCTAAAACAGCCAGGAAAAGTATATTTCAAAAGCTTACAAGAACATACTTGGGCAAGCTCACATTCTGAACCAATATTCATGTTGGTTTCTTTCTGAAAAGTATCTGCACATCTCACAAAAACATTCAGTTCCAGATACCATTATGACTAGCAAGAGTTAAAGATTGTTCTTCTGTCTTAATTTAAGAAGACATGCAATTCTAGTAATCTCATGGACAATACCATAACACATTATTTTAACTTACTTGCCCCCTCAAGTTTCTTGGCCAAAGCCATTCTCAATCAATCAAATCATATACTCCAATACTGTATGTGGTGCTGGCTCCATGTCCGTCCATGTCCCGTCCCCGTGTCCCCCCGCAAAGTGAGAATACTTGAGACAGATGCCAGTCACACACAGCATCCACGTCCTAAAAGCCAAGACTCCTCTCAGTTACAGTGCTGCATTCTCATCAATAACAGCAGGGCTGCACTGAAGTAACTGGAAGAAGAACGTAGCACCTGGGGTTTAAGCTGCAGCAATGAGCCAGCTTCAATATGCAGAATGTATGCTTACCAGGTTTGATTACTATGAGAAAGTAAAATCACTTGCCATACACATTTGGATTTATGACTTTAAGGAAATGCTTTTTAAGTCTCAGTCAGGAGAGAGTGCAGGAAGCTAAAAGCTTAGCAGTTAAAAAATGTGAAGAAAATAACGTGAGAAAGCAAGAAAGGGAAAACATTTCTTACCACCAGCAGGATTAGCTGATCTGGATCCTTGATTATGAGGGCAGACCAAAGGACAGGCAAAAAGTGGATTAAAAGACAGCAAGACAATAGAGCATTCAGCATGCGGTTTATGCTATACACAATACAGACAGATTTATTTACAAACATGTCACTCCTAAAGCCTCTGCAGAATGCAGTGAGTTAACATGCAGATGCAACTAAAATTTGCCAAGGTTGATCAGCTTCTTAGCTAAATGTCAACCAACACACCAAGACCCAAGTTCTGTTATAAATTACACCCCAGCCCAGTCTACAAAATTGCAACACAGTTATCCACTGTGTGGGCATGAAGAATTTGGTCCTGTGACCATATTATATTTGAATACGTAGGTTATTTCATGCAATGTTTGGCTTAAGGATAAAGATCACATCTGGTTGGGCTAGGCTGAAAACAGGACTCAGCAAACTAGACCAAGGCAGCAGGTTCAGATATGACCATCCTAAAGCTTCATAAGACATTCTATAAAAAAATTAAGCCCATAATCTTTGAAACCTTTGGATACTCAACTATTCTTTAAATATTGCTGAGACTTGTTTCATCTGGTCTGATCATTTGTCACCAAACTAAGTTTAGGAAAAAAGGTCATTTCTGGCTTTGGATCAGTTTTAGGTTCAAAACTGAAGAAATCAATTTAGATCAGCATACCAAAGCCCAAATTCCTTCATGACCTCAATGTAAAGATTTCCATTTGGCTCCATCCTGAATAAAATACTTCTCTCTTCCGCTCTCCCAGCCTAACACAATGCTATGAACTGCTTCTGCATCCCTCCAGCATGACAGAGCAAAGCAATGAGAGCATGAACAGAGAAGAGCTTTTAAATAGGGGTGCAAAGCAAGACAAGTCCTCAGAACAAACAGGTCTTTCCACAAACCCCATCTCCTCTTACCCACAAGCTTGAAGATCCTCAAAACACGAGTGGCTTTCTCCCTCACCCCAATTCCTTTTAAAGTCTGATTGACAAAACTCTCCTTAGATACACATGACAAATACGCAGCAGCACCGTATGCACGGCTCCTGGGGAAAACCATGCCTTGCCAGGAAGCCAGAAAGTGCAGATGTGCCATGTGAATCAGAGGGCAGAACCATCTCCACTGTATCTGCACAAAATAGGTGATGTCCTATTTCAAATTGATGCCAAATCCCATTAACTTTCGACAGCTCACATGTTACACATACAAGAAATACAGTCACATAGGCAGGAGAAGCTTGGCAGGGCAAGAACCCAGGACAGCAGTCAGCTACAGACACAGAGGGTGTCTCAGTGGGACCCAGTGCAAGTTATTTAGTCCTACACATCACAGTGACATAAAATTCTGCTGCACAACCGGTAAAAAACAGGCAGCAACTAAGTACTCAGATTTGGGGCCTTATTCATCAGCAAGAGCACACACTGGCTGAGCGGGGACTCGTTTTGTTACACGTCCAAACGTTATTACCAGAAGTGAGCCCAATCCTCAGCTGATGCTACTACAATTCAAGAGAAGCATGTTAATAACTATTTGTTTTGCTCCCCCCAAAATAAAACACTTCTTACGCTGGGACTGGGAAACTACTTTAGCCCGGCTGCGGCCTCGGGTATCAGCAGGCGTTGAGGTGACGCTTGTGGCACTGCCAGAGCTCTGTCTCCTTGTACGAATCCGACCTGAAAGAATGCAAAGACAATCAGACTGTTAATAGGTTTCTTCCAAAGGCAGCAGTGTCTAACATGCTGTTCTATGCTTGCAGGGTTGCTATACGCACAATTAGGCAGGCTACAAAAGAATTTTACAGGCAGAGGCAACATCTTTTATTAGACTGGCTGAGATGCAGGGGAGGGAGTGGAAACAGTCACAGTCCATGAGCCTGAAAACTTCTTTGCTTTCTGTAACGCTATCAGCCAGTTTAATTAAAAAAATATTACCTCTCTATAGCCTTTGCTCCTCTTCTATAGTAGCTTGTTTACAAAGTATCAACAATAAAAATTTCAGTCTCCTAAAATGCTGCTTCCTACATCAAATCATTACTTTCTGACAAGGCGATCACCCTTTCAGACACAGGCTTGACAGATGCCCCCACAAATTCCATCGTTGGGATTTCCAATTAGCAGTTTGGTGCTTTATATCCTGCTCTACATGCGCAGGCTGGCATGCACTCCTGCGAGAGTCTGTCAACGCAACCTGACTACGCTTTTATTTCAGGCTCATTGAATTTTCTCTGCTGTTTACAGTTCCCTCATATTTATCCCGAAATCAGTGTAACTTTACTTGTAATGGAGAGTGCCATTTAACACAATCAACATTGTTGAAAAATGATTCTGTGTGTCTGCTCTTTATTTAAGTGGAGAATGGATATAAAGTCTCAAAGTGTTCTTGGTCCTTTTTCTGTCCTTTCCTCATGAAAAAGCCACAGAAATTTGAGCTAGAAAAGCTTACAGGGTCATCAGTTCATCCCCTTCCTGGGGCAGGGCTGTTTCCTACAGAATGTTCTTTCCAGTGCTACACTTCAATTATCTGTCTCTAGTTAATGGGAAAGAAATGATAATTAAGAGCAACACAAAGAGAGCCTCCATCAGTACTTTTCAACAACTCAGTTCTCAGCCAAATCTGAAGCTGTTTCTCAGGACTCATGCCAGTGCTCTCCTGCATTCAGAGGATGACTTCAAGTTTCAGGCACAATAATAAAAGGAAAAAAACCACAACAGGTAAGAGAAGAGTCTAGACAACTGCACCCACTGGTTATAGTTATTCATCTCCTGCCCTTTGTCTCCACCATAAACATACAGAGAAATATGAACAGGAAGATATACACTCCCTCCCCACCCCCACCCCCCCAAATCACTTCACATAAGGTACACATGCAGGACAAGACAATGGCAAGCAGCCCAGGCTGAACGGATTGAGAGCTCTGTTCATCTCTGAGCTCTCAAAATATTCATAACATGGTCTGCAAGTTTCTGACAGACATAAAGTGACAAGGAGATGTTTAGCTTTGAGAAGAAAGCCTGGACTTGTTTGTAGGGGAAAAAGCCTAGAAGACAGCTGTACTTCAAACCTCTCCACCAGCACCTAGTTTCGAAATACCTCAGTAGGCAAGATACAGATACCTACATTCAAACAATTGTTTGTAGACAAGACATAGAAGAAATCATTAGCACAAAACTGGGAAAATATAAACAAACCACTTTCTAACCACTGGCTCAACTAAACAAGCTCTGAGCATGTCCACATGGGTCCAACAGTCATGAAACTGGCTGCCAAGGTGTTCCTACCACCAAAAAGACTGTAGATCTCCTCTGCTCTAGGACATTATCTGCCCCTTACAAATGGTCAGCCTGATACACAACCAGAGGCAGCTGTAGAGCTCTTTGCTGGCCCATTCCCATCCCTTGCAAGTCTGGCACACGCACAGCTACATGCAGAAGAGCAGAGCCGCTGTGCAACCTGCCTTGTACAAGGCATGTACCCCAAACCTCAAAGCAGGCGTGCACGGGGAAGGAGGCAGAAGGACCTCACGCTCTTGTCAGAAGCCTCAAGGCTTCCTTTCATTTCTCACATCAGGAGGGCATCACTGGTGGCAGCAGGAGTACAAAACAGTAAGTCAAGACATAGTTAAACCTGACCAGTCTTGGGAGCCAGTAATGGAATTAACTTACATCCTTCCCAAACACCAACAGAAGGCCTTGGCAGTGCAGAAAGTCCTGGGGGGTAACTCAAGCTGAAATTCAACATTCTACACAGAAATGGCATTTGAAGCCACATTTAGTGATGTGTATGAGCCAAGAATGGGTGAGAAGGGACTGATGTCTCCTCCTATGCAGAGGACACTCAAGATCCTCAAAATTTTCTGTTCTTTCTGCATCTACAAAACTTTTTTTTTTTCTTTATCAGCAGGTGACTAAGAAGAAGGAGAAAATTGGAACAATATGTAATAAGTGACTCTCCCACCTTAGGAAATACAAAACCTAAAAAAATATATAAAGAGAAACCAAGATTAGCTTCTGATACCAATTCTGAGGGCTTTAAGAAAGAAAACTGAACCAAAGGGTCAAACTTAATTAACATGTGATTATCAGCAGGATTAGAAACAGAGAGTTCAGTCCTATTTTGAAACCCCTGAGAGTTAGTGGACAGACTCCTACCAACTTCAGCAGTTTCTCAATGAATGAATGCTCAGGAACAAAATTCTGCTTCCTTTTGGACTGGTAGATTTGCACACTGATTTCGGCCTAATGAGTGTCAGAGAGAACAACGTGAGATGAAGAGCTGCTCTTCTGCAGGAGGAACAGAGGTCCCAATACTGATACTGGTTTTCTCATCCTTCTAAAAAGGCTGACAAGCGTTTGAACTAACACTGCACTGGACTTGCATTCTGCAAATAACAGGAATAGCAGAAAACTAGAAATTCATGATACAAAAATGATGTAATGGTATGAATACTGCGATGGTACAGTAACAGCTTACCCTAAGAGTACTTCATTCTTTAAAGTCCACAGTGTAAAGTAAAACGAGAGGGAAAAATACCTCTCAAATTCAAGGTCAAATTCTTCACACGGTTACAAGGAAAAAGTGCCATCTATTACATGCATTCCTTGAAGCATGAATTATTAATGTACTTTCCAAAGTTTTATTTTCTGAACTTTAAAAACTACGTATTTATTTTTTCATACAGGTAATTAATCTTGCTTGCAGCATACAAATGGTTCAGAGTAAGTGACTCAAAGCTACTCTTCAAGAAAAAAGTTAAGATTCTAAGTTCTTCCTATCCAAGTACAGTTTTCAGCTGTAAAACAAAAAGTGGCCAACTGGAAGTCAAAATTGCTTTAGGCAAATCTGTACGAGATAGAAAACCTGGAGAGAGATCTGGGATGTTTCCTATGTTAACTTATCTTGACATACATGCACAACTTTTAAATTAGTCTTATGATATCCAAACCCTACTTGATTTATACTAGTGCAAGATGAATCAGTATTTGTCTGGCTTCAAAATATCAATATTTTTATTATATATTATACCAAGTACAGCATGTATATATAGAAGTTCATCTATACAATACAAATATCTCTACTACATTCTGTTAAGAATTTAATGTGCAAACAAGAGTCTGCATTCACATCCAAGAGTTATTTGCACATAGGACTATTTGTGTGGCTTTATCTCTATCATTCTGTGCCAGACAGAAAAAATAATTTCAAACAGGACTGGAAATAACATATCAAATAAGTTATTCAGACTTTTTTTTTTATGTTAAATTCAAGCAAACACCTCCCCTCCCAAAACGACTTTGCTTTCAAGTGGGTTTGTTTCCATATCTAGCTCAAATTGCAGATGTAGCAATTCATATTTCATAACCATTCTTTTTCTGCTGCTTTTAAAAGAATTACTGCATCCTGACAACAGCAGCACAGCAAAGGAACAGATAAAGACCGCCCCAACTAGTTTCCAAAAAACATAAAAGTATTTCCAGAAAAAAACCCTCTTGATCCAAATTTGACATGTGACACATCGCTGTTGGTACAGAAAGTATTCTGAAAGACTCCATATAAATGCTTTGTGTTAAGAAACCATTTGTGGGTTTTTTAGGAGGTTTTTGTTTTATTTTTTAACATTACTGTCATTTTTACAACAATCAATGGATCAGAATTAACCCTGAAATGCCTAACATACATCTAAACCTAGGAAAGTTTGTTTTTTAAAAAGGAACAAGTGAAGGAAGATTCTATAATGTTTTTGCGTTACAAGAGGCTTCATCCGGCAGTATTGTTCCGAGCTCCTCTGGGTGGATACTGCAGCACCTCCATCCCCAGTGCTCAGAACAGACACGGGCTTTGTGAGACTCAGCCTGTGTATTACACTGAAGGAAAAGGTTTTCAAATAGTCTAGAAATTGTATATAACAACTCCACAACTCAGTTTAATCTGTTCCATGCTGCAAATAACGATACCTACTACCACACAAGTTATATATGGAAGCACTGAGACTGGGACATTCATGGCCTCTCCATGGATCAGCTTAAACCATTTAGGTAACTCAGCACTGTGTTTTTCCCCTGCTTGGAGAAAAACATTCCTGAAAGAGCCTATAGGACCCCCCTAGCTGTGTCACTGCTAAATGACATGTGGACATCAGAGACATGCACGCATCAATTAAAAACATGCTTTACCTATAAATCTGTAAACAACTTCTAACAACCACCATTAGAATGGTTTCCATGCATATTCAGCATGTGTCCAACTTTACACTAGTGTAAGACCTGACTCTGCACCATAATTTCCCCCAAGAAGCACTCGACCCTTACTGGAAACCATCAGCATATGCTGCCTCTGGGTTTTCCATGAGAAATCCTTCCAAAGCAGAGGGTTGAGGGAACAATAGTGGCACCACTTTGCCCTACACCAACAAGCACAGGCAAATCAAGTCAGCACTTGCAAAGGAATGGAACAAAAGAACAAAGAAACCTACTACCTGAACATTTCCATTTAAGACACCATGTTCAGTCACACCTTTGAATCAAGCCTTGCCCTTGAGGACAAGGGAGAGCTTTAAGGCAGAAAAGAAAACAGGAATGGCGATTTCTTAAAACTTGTATTACTCCCAAAGCCTTTGGTAAAGCACTCAAGATGTCCAACTGAGCAGACCACTCTTTTTGAGCTTAAGTGATCTGAAAACTATAATAAACCAGGTTTTCTTTCCTTTCTGGTGAATCATAAAAACTACTAAAAATTGTGCCACTGATTCTGGAAACTGCTGCTTTTGTTTTAAACTTGCCGGTTTCAGGACAGACCAGCATTTATGCTTCCCCATTTTGAGAAAGGCTTGTCTGAAGGGCTTGTCTTTATGCTCACTTTCAGAAAAAGCAGCCAGATAACAGAAACACTCCGAACCATTATTCTGTACTGAAAGTCAGCATTATGCACCTCAAATATTCCTTGAAAAGCCATTTCATGATAAAACAAGGAGAAGCTTTTCCAAGTTTTTCTTTTAATCAGGTATAACAAACATGGTACAACTGCTCCCCGCACAGCACTAGCTGTGAAGTCCTGATCGAGACTATAAAGGTTTAGATCTTACAAGCTTTCTGCACGCAAAGCTCTTAATGAAGTTCAGGAGATACCCATAAATGAAGGGTCTGGGCAATGAAGACATAACTGAGCACTGCATAAAGACACAGCCTCACAGCACAGAGGCAGCAGGAGACCTGCACGTGGTAAATAGATTCATGCTACCTTCCATAAGGAAGTGCATTTCAACAGCATTTGTCAATTGGGATGACACTACTTAAAACAAAAGGACTGATACCCAGCTCTTAACTTGTATTCTTGCCACTGGTGTAACCTACTATCTTGCTCCTATTTTGAGATGTCTGGCTCAAAAACAAAACACTGAGGAGAACTGAGGGCAAAGCAGATGGGAACTGCCAAGTTCACACAATGCTGGCTCCCGGCTGAGGGGAAGGTGCAGAACTTTTACACTGTAGCTACAGAAAGCCATGATGGGAACCAGACTGCAGATTTAATGTCAAGCTGAACCACACAAAAAACCACAGGGATTTGCTCTTAAATTACTTATTGGTGACCTGCAAAAAAACCCCCAGGGGCACAAGTGCGGATGGAGTTTCTGCTTTACGTTCCAAGAGTGTCGCTTGCACACACAGGTATTCCCAGAGCAAGGGGATGTTTCTCCTCTTCCCCTGCCCCCTTAATTTTTACATTTATGTCAAGAATATGAAGTTCTGCTTCCCTGTAGTTCCTGACAAACTCTGCAAGATCAGGGAGTTGGCAGAAGACCTTTCTCAGCCCTCATCTGTAGGACACACTGAATACTGAACAAAGGCTCGTTTTCCCTCAACTGTCTCAAAGGAAAACAAAAATGAAGAGTTTTGAACAGTGATTAAACTCATCCTTCAAGTGCTCTGGCTGTAGCATGCCATGTTATAATTCTCCCTGATCCTCACTCTCCCCAAAAAGGATCCTACAGCAAAAAGAAGAGATGAGATCTGGCATTTAACACTTAAAGGGATGGCAAACTCTATTTCTGAAAGTTCAGCTCACAATCTTTCCCCACAAGCAACTTGCTGGTTTCTATTACAGATTTTTACCAAATCAAATCTGGTTCCAAATTGGAAAAAAAAAAAACCCAACTAATAAAATAAATAAGCCACCCTTTTGCATTTTGACAATAAAGGATTTAATAAACTAAAAAGAAAAGTATTCCAGAAGACAGTTGTTGTAACAGGCCCCCACAAATATTACAGCCTACGAGAGGACTGAAAACCGCATAGGGTATTTCATAAATTAACATTAAACATTCAACATTTCAAAGTTAGGCCAAAAAAAGAAAGGTTTGAAAACTGGGAAGAAAGGAAGAAAAGAGAAAAGAAGGGTCAATAATGAATAAAAAAAGTTTAGTATTACAACAATTTAGAACTTTCATCTAATTCACTATTGATTTAGAAAGACAGGTGTTTAGGACAACTTCATATTCCTTATCACTGACAGATCACGAAGCACAAACACTTGCCCAGGATGCAGAGCCAGTTCATCTCTCAACACTGAGATTAAGTACCAGTTCCAAAAATGGTAGAGACCTTTCCCTCTAAATAATAAATCAATGCATCAGTAAGGAAAACACACACACGTCACAACAGCACAGTGGCACTTTTCAGACCACCACATCCAAATACAAGCAGCCATCAAGGATATGAGCACAGTCCCACAAGACAGTAATAGATCCCTTGAAAAGAGACTTGCATCAGGAAAAAAATGGGTTTGTTGGGGGGTGTGGTGTCCTCATTCTGTGTAGAAGACATTCTTGTTTTCAACTCCTGTCTACCTCAGCAAAAGTGGTTTCCCAGTGATCTTTTTTGCTTGAGAAATAAGAAATAAAGAACAAGCTTTGGCAACGAGCCAGAGAAACAGACTGGGAGCCCTCCCAAACTAGCAGGCTCAGTGTTCTTGAAAAAAGTCTTTCCTCCAACTGTCTTAGATGTAAGTCATCTCACTCAGACAGTTAACAACAAAAAGAGAGCGCTCAGGTTTAAAGAGGTTGACTAAATATTCCTTCCCTAGAGATCATTGTTTACTGTCCTCATTTTTCTGCCATGTGATCATCTCATTCAATTCTCTCGCTGCCCAGTCTCTTCCCGAAAGCATTTGGCAGTTGCGACCTGAGCTTTGGATGGAAAAACACAGCAAACCTTTACACATCGTGGAGCAAGAAAACAGAAGCCCTGTATTGGTTTTTTTGCTTTTTTTTTATTTTGTTGGTTTGGGGGTTTGGTTTTTGGTTTTTTTTAAATCTGTGCACAGGTCACCTTCAACCAAAAGCAGTGCTTTAAATATGGAAACCCACATACAACTTTGTGATCAGAAGTCAAGTCATAAAAGCAGACTAGTGCCTATTAGCAGGAAGGAGCTCAAAGAGGAAGTGAAGAATACCCCATGGCATCAAAATGAGCAGGACAACCATGCAACACTTCATGCAGGTCACCAGTGAACATGGATGAGAACCAGATAACACTTCGAGAACAGAGACCAGGTAGGGTGGTACGACTGTGGACACACCTCAGTTACACAGAGAGACTGCTTACCCTCAGTTTTAGTGGTAGTACCATCTTTAGGCAAATTAAAAAAAATAAGGAGAGGGTTAATAGGGAAAATTAGTAACATCAACAGAAGTGGGCACTATATATTAGCTACAGAAATATGCACAAAAATTAGCACAATTAAAGAAATGAAAAAAGTTTGAGCAGCAAATCAAAGCTTGGTGTATCTGAAGAACACACGTGCAGGTTTCCCCTCCTGCAATAACCAACCTTTGCCAAACTCCATTTTCGTTGTTTGCCTCGCCATTTCTCTCATGGGAATGCGCAGGTGACAAATGTCCCTACCAGCTCAAAAGGAAGCAGGCTCCTTCAGGAGCAGCCATGTTTGCATCACTTGGACTGCATTTGCTGCTTTTCTCCTACAGTCTGTTTTAAGAGCAAGACTAACACCGTATTCTATTCCATCTCCTGGCTTCAAGGACAAAGCCAACTTTAGTAGATACTTCCCCCCTCTTCTGTTCTTCCTCATAAGATTGTTCGAAAGCAGTTTTGCCACTGAATCCAGTATACAGCGCGACTAAAAATGGTTGCATCTGTGAGCTCGAAAGCACGCTATTATGTGATCAACTTCATATTCTGCATTACATTTTCACTGCAATGTAGCTAAAGCTTGAATGAAGTATGTTAGATCAGAATAAGAATTCAACTTCTGGACCAAATACAACCAACACACTTAAGCCAAGGTAAAACATTTCAGATATGAAAGAAACCTGTCTACAAAAGGAATCTATAGAAACCATTCCTACATAATTCACCAAGCATATTTTATCAGACTAAAGACCAAATGCCCTACAGTAAGGAGAAGCAACTTCTCAACTGACTCAATGAAGACCATCTACACAGCTTAAATAGAGATCACTGATTTCTGATTTTTCTCCCTCTTGTAAAGATAAATCAATGAAAAGTCTGGAATTAGATTAGTATGAAACCAGCAGAATGAGAAACTAGCTCAGATGATCAGCTCTGCTCATAACCAAGTTGAAGCTCTACAAATATGGTGTCAATCACTGTCTTGCATTTCCTCCTCCATGCCTCCTTAAACGGCATGTCCAGGAGAGAAAGATCAAATGCAAACTTTGTTGTAAGAAACCCTGAGGCACCTGAAAGTGATATACGATGCTTTGAGAGAATAATATGCCATGTGGCTACAATCCAAAAAGAGTCAGCATAAGGAACAGATACTTATATTCTGTGTAGTGAAATGGGAAGGCCAACTTCTCTTTTGCTTCTACATCTTTAGTAAAACAAAGCGATCAAACTCAACTAAGATGTACTATTCAAAGCATAAAACAACTAACAGAAAACCAGTTTCAGGAAAGGAGGGAAGGAAGAGAAGGAAGAGACAGGGGACATGTCAAAAGGAATTGAGCTGTAAGTATTTTCCTCAACAATGTCCCAGAATCGTAATAAGATCTGCTTTTGCCCAGAAAGAAGAGTGAAACACAGACTATTATACAATTCAAAAACTAAGAACTTGTTTCAAGTCAGTTCTGTTGCAAATTTTTTCCTTAATCCCAAAGGGTAAGAGATCACACACTGATCCTGAAGAGCTGGTAACTATCTCAGAGATATGTTCTTCTAGTTATAGTTTAATATTCAAATAAAACTACGAGGCACTTTCTGCTAGCAAAGAAAGCTAACTGCAAGAGTAGAAGAACATGTAGATTTACCTAGTGATGCATATGAGCCTGGGGGCAAGGCTGCAGCAGAACTGAAGGGGGTGGATGCTCCAGAAGACGTCACTTTTGACTTGGCACTAGCTGCTGCATTCACATCGACGTCACTGCGGGATCGCTGCAGAGATCCTGGTGTTGACACAGATTTTGTACTTACTGTAGATGCTGCAGATGGGAGTGGGAGATCCAGAATAAAGAAGATTAATTTTTTGAGCTGCGTGCTTCAAAGAGCCTGACAAGCAGTTTAATGTACTATTTTTAACACTCCCTGCTGGCACTCAAATACCTCAACTAAGAATGCTTTATCAGGGCAATGTGGGCTTCCCCACACTGCCTGCAAAGATATTTCAATGCTGACCTGATGCTACCTCTAAGAACTTTATCAGACACTAACCTAAATGCTGAGATCAAAAAGGCTGCCAGGCCAGTAATAAAGACATTTCTAATAGAACCTAGATGGGAAAGTTCAACCACAGTACCCATCACCAGCTTGTAAGTTGCTGGCCAAAACAGACCTGCAGGTCCTTCAGTCCAGGTTCTACTAAATTCCTTCCCAACACCTCATCTTCTCATGAGGACTGCTGTTCCCATCACTTGTTGATGCTTACCCTCTTACGCATGAAGCTTGACTATTCAGCTGCAAGCAAACATGCATTTGTGTGCACAATCAAGTAGGTTACACAACAACATCTCCTTGAATCAAAGATCTCAGTAGGGTGTACTGTATACACGAACCAGCCAGAACCCGATCTTGGTCAGGTGTAGAAGGCAACTTATCTACCAACAAAGTTTTGTCTATTATATTCTGTATTAAAATCTATCATTTAGATTATTGTATGCATTTACTTAGGACAGGAAAGCTGCACTTAAATATTCCATCTGACAGTAAAAACAGATTAGCAACGAGATGGAATTCAACACTGTAGGACTTGTGTACAGACAATGCCTCCAGTAAGTGCTGAAATCACAGAGAATAAATGACAGAAAATTGTAAAGCTGAATGCACCATTAGACTATGTAGCTGTATGGCTTAGCATCAGCAGTAGTTCATTCCAGCTATTGCACAGCTAAACATACCTTGGCTAGAATTTTCAAGGCTTTAGCCTTCTTTTCAGGTGCAAGCAATAACAGATTTACTAACTTTCAAAAGCATCAGCAGTCGATGCACAGAATGTGGTGTACAACCCAAAAGTAATTAAAAAATTTTACATACTAAGCTGCCATCTTAAGGAGCAGTAAACAGTGATCAAAGTTTTTATTTGCATATCATAGTGTCTGAAATTCTCATTCTAATTCATCACACTTCCTCAGGAACACCTGAACACATTTTCCAGCTCCTGTTCTCACCTCTAGATGTAGTACTTCCAGTAGGACTTCTTTTGGCAGACAATGGACGGCTAGAAGTTAATATAAATATTTATTAAAACAAAGTATTTCATAGTCATCAGTAACAGTGCTACTCTGTTCCCTCAGTACACAACTGAGTTAATAGGAAGTTATTTATATACAGGAATAGACTAACAAAGCTTATTAGTTAAGAATAAATACAGTACCACCATGAAATTCTTTACAAAAGCACTAAGAAAAAAACCTAGTATGCACATTATTTCAGTAAGAAGAGATTTTTAAGAACACTTTTCGTAGATTTTAAAAGTGACACCAGTAAGTTATGGATATTTTTCATATACGTCACACACTTAAATGGCAGACATTTGGAGCCTAAGTTGACTGTATCTCTAAGAGAAGGTAAAATGCATACATTCAGCAGAAGAGTTACACACTGATTTTGCAGTTTCAACTCAAATTTAATTTAGTAATTTTTCTTCTCTTATATGGAAAGAGGCAGACTTATACCTCTAGGATTAATGCTGAACACAGAATTTCAATCCAAGCATTGTTTTAAGCACACCTGGAAGGAATGACTAACAGTATTTGCTGTGCACAAAAAGCTTCCTAGAAAGTTATTTATGGAGTCAAGATAATGATTTTTTTTAAAGGGTTTCACTGGCTTTTTATTTTAATACAATGTTGGCTAAAAAAAATTTTGGAGTAACCAAGTGTTGAGGCCAAACAATGACCAGATGAGACAAAGCAATGTGATGGCTCCCTCCAGTTCAATGGAGCTATCCGCGGTTGTTTAAATCGAGAGGTAGTGCCATTGAAAGACTTACTTAAGACTCTCCTGGGAGCTGGAGGAGGAGCGATCCGACTGTGGCAAGGACACGATGCTGTCAGAGTTCTTCAAATGTGACTGCAGGGCCTTCTGGTAGGAAGACTCCAAGGTGTGGTACAAATGCTCTGCCTCTCGGCTGAAGTGACTGTGGAAACCCCAGTAACACCTGGAAACAAGGCACAATACTGTGAATACTTCTTTGTCAGGTTCTAGGGGGCAGTGAGGCACAGGTGCAGTCAGAGCCCTTTTCACTATTGGCATTAGTGGGCTCATTAGCCCAGTCATTTCAATCATCTACTGCCCCTATGACACACTCAAGACATATCACTTTCTTCAACCCATTGTATTGCTCAAGCAGCCGCACAGAAGACAAACCAAATGAAAGTTAAGAAGACAGGAACACACCATTTGGTGCATTATAAATACACAAGTAGCCAACAAAGCTTTGTTACAGAAGAAACCCTCATCCCTCTGGCTGTCTACTGTACACGGGAGATGGTAGACCCACTACACTGATACTAGTTTGGGACTGGGTGCTCAATAATTACTTCAAAAACATGCCAAAACGAGAACACGCATGCATGGGCCTGATTCAGGAAAGCATGAGCTGGTGTTGTTTTCTTCCTTAAGTTTAACAAACAGCCCTCCTACAATGTTGCAGAGACAAATCTTCTGTACTGAGTTGAGGCTGTTGACTGTCTTTTTGGGAAGAAATAACAAGGAAAAGGAAAGAGGTGCTCCTATAGACTTCCAGTCAGTGCCACGCTAAAAATAAAAGTGCATTTTAAGATGAGGGAAGGATTCCTCTCTGGTCCAAATCTCCTGGCTGATGGCTAAACACCATTCCCTCTCGTCACAAAGGAGACGAAGACTCTCAGCACTTTTCGGGGGCAACTAATGGGCAGTTTAAGAGTAAGATCGTTAGCTCAAATCAATCAAGAATTGTTTGTGTGTGACAGCAAGACCTCAGAGAAGTCACATACATTCTCACATCACTAGAAGGAAACAAATTTGTCTTACAATCAGTCATGCTGTTAATTAAGAAACATGGTAAGAGAGAATTAAGCACACTCTCCAAAGTCTCATGCTATTCTCCTTGCTGTGTCTATTCAGCTTAACTAGTCACCTGCTATGAAGTCTCAGTGCTTACTGTCTTTTATAGTGATGGACACATTCATCACGTAAATCCTTTCAAAAGGATTTAAGCAGTCCTACTGTGAAACACTTCTGCTTATAATATAGCATTTAGATTAATAAAATTTATTGTTCATTGATTTCATGTTTTACAGCATCCTCTTTCTGAAGAAAAATGTTCCTGTAGTGTTCTGTTCAGAAAAGCATGATCCTAGTATATCAGCATACTACCTTAAGTACAATCACATTAATGGAAATGCAAGAGATCAACAGAAGAAAATTAATTGCAAATATTAAGCTTTCCTATAGATACACACAAAGATATTATTTCAGTGTCATAAAATATTTCCTTAATTTAGGATACCATTTAGCAGTGTACTAGCACAAAGACTTTTACTTCGAGAGTAGCAAATAACAATAGAATAGAACAGACTATTTCAGTTGGAAGGGACCTACAGTGATCATCTAGTCCAACTTGCCTGACCAGTTCAGGGTTGACCAAAGTTAAAGCATGTTATTAAGGACATTGTCCAAACGCCTCTTAAAAGACTGACAGGCTTGGGGGATCAACCACCCCTCTAGGAAGCCTGTTCCAGTGTTTGACCACCCTCTCGGTAACAAAATGCTTCCTAATGTTGAGCCTAAACCTCCTCTGGTGCAGCTTTGAACCATTCCCACGTATCCTTTCACTGGATACCAGGGAGAAGAGGCCAGCACCTCTCTCTCCACTTCCCCTCCTCAGGAAGCTGTGGAGAGCAATGAGTTTGTCCCTCAGGCTCCTAGCTGACAACCCAGGCAAGCCCAAAGTCCTTCGCTGCTCCTCAGGGGACATTCCTTCCAGCCCTTTCACCACCTTTGTTGCCTTCCTCTGGACACATTCAAGGACCTTCACATCCTTCTTAAATTGTGGGGCCCAGAACTGCACACAGTATTCAAGGTGAGTCTGTACCAACACTGAATACAGTGGGATAATCACCTCTCTTGACCAGCTGGCTGCGGTGTGTTTGATGCACCCCAGGATGCAGTTTGCCCTCTTGGCTGCCAGGGCACACTGCTGACTCACACTGAGCCTGCTGTCAACCAGCACCCCCAGATCCCTTTCTGCAAGGCTGCTCTCCAGCCACTCCTCTCCCAATTTATACTTGGGCCTGGCATTACTCCGTCCTAGGTCTTGTATACAGGCCAAAAAGAAAAGAAAAAATATATTAGAAATAACAGTATTTTTGCACTGAACAGAAGAAATACCAGTTAACTGCAAGCAACTCAAACATCAAAGAGAAAGACAAGGTTACTAGCTCTCGATTCTAGACTCTTGAACAACTCCAGTAAGCACTTTACCTGCTTAGACAGATAAAAAGCCAATAAAATATTACAAGAACAAAGTGAAACAAGCACCATTAGAAGATGTGATACTTATATAACTCAGCCCCATGTGATCATCTTGTATGACGACATCTGCTGAAGTGGACACTCACACTGAAGCCAAGGGAAAGTTGACATCAACTGCCAGGCGAAGGTAACTTGTCTGGACTTCAGTCTCCAACATACAATGCCACTGGCTAGCAACACAATAGGGGCAAAGAAGGGGAGGAAGAAAAGACACCAACAACAGCTTCCACTTACTTTCTTGCCTCTATCCTGGCTTCAGAGTCTGCATCATGAATTCCCTTCTTTATTGTTTCAGCTAACACTGATATGTGTCTGAAATAAGAAGGAAAACATTATCCAGCAGTCCAGAAAGATGCACCACACTTATAAACAAATGACTAATTTGATTTTGCCTTGGCCTCCAAGAACAAATAGTTCATCACATCCTCCCATTTCCATGTAAGATCCTTTGGAGCCTTTATTTATTTACTCTTACAAGTCAGTTTTATTTCACCCACGCTGCTGACTAGGAAAAGGCAAGCAGCATTCTTCGTAGGTCAGTCTTTAGTTAGCTTTTGAAACTGCCTGGGGGCAAAAAACACTCTCTTAACCCTTAAAAAGTCTTGCACAGTCTAGGGCTAAGGAAATTGTGTCCCAGTTTCTTCCCCCACAATTACTTTCACTGTTCATTAGTCTGAAGTACTGTAAAAGCCTCAGAAGCTCTGACAGACATGTGGTAGCTTCCACATCATCTCACTTTGGGGTGCAAAAGGAACAAAAAAAAAAAAGTAAAAAAAATTTAAAAAAGAAAATCTATTGAGTTCAGGGATTCACTCAGCTAGGTTTTCCAAGGCTGGCATAGGAGACAGACTCACCAAACTCTGACTGCCAGAACTACAGACGAATGGGGTGTGTGCACATATGTACATGCTTTTTTTGGTGACAAAAATATCACTACTCAAGCTACCTGATATAATCTCACCTCCTAGGTTATCCTTTCTCCAGAATTAACCTCCCCAGACATAAGTAGAGAGAAATAACTTGTTTTCAAAGGTTACCTTTCTAGGGAGTGTGTTTGCCACTCCTGCAACAGCAAGTCTAAAAATTCGAAACAGCGCCTGAGAGAAGAAAGAGAAGAAATGCTAAGTTCTTTAAGTTAACAGAGGCATGCTAACTTTGCCATACCTGCCCCTGAACAACACCCATCTTTTGTTATGAAGTTTTTTAGGACATTAGAATTCAGTAACGACCCCGATAAAAACATCAATGTCTCTACAAATGGCATAAATAAACAGTCTGAAGTAGTAACTGGATGCAGCTCACTACAGAGAAGTCTAAAGAGAGGGCTTGACATAAAACAATCCAGAAAGGCCTCTTTTTCATTAAACAGGATACAGGCCCAGAAGATCTATGCTAATGATACTTTGTACCTGTTAGTTCAGGCTTCACACAGAAACTTCACATTTAGCTTCATGTGGAGACAGATCCTTTCCAGCTTTAATCTCCCCTCCTCATTTCAAGACACTAAGGCACAAGTGTGCTGTTACTTGTTCAAGGTTCGTCACCAAATTCAGCAACCACAAAGCCCTTCTTTTTGTCTAACCAGAAGAGAACTAGCTGATCTACATGGACCAGGCAAGAGTCTCCCAGTGAGGTAGTAGACTGAAGTACACTTAGATTTTAAGTGCAGAGAGGACCATTAGCACATCCAGTCCAACTTCCAGATGATGCTATTGCAGAACACTACGACTGCTGACTGGCCCAAAGAAAATGTGTCACTAATGGCTAGTAGTGGGGAATAGGAATGTGTCTGTAAAGAAGCCAAAATAACATGATATCAACATGTAAGCACAAAGGTTAGTTTAAAAAACATTTCTCTTTGTGGAAAAGTGCTTTTCTTCTCTGCAGTGCTGCATCTTATTCAAGATAGCTGACTTTGAATTTGATCCCAACTCATGGGGGAGAATGAGATGCATTCTTTAGTGAGTGTGTATATCAACCCTTTTCATGAATAGAAAGAACTACATGAATGTTATCAGAAAGTACGTGTGAACCTATTTACTGGTAAAAAGAGAGAGTAAATTCAAACTACATGCTCACCTTCTAACTGCAACAGACTTGGAGGTACAATTACTGGTTATGATGGGTATTAATCGAGGGATGTGCGTATGCTGGAAGAAAAAACAAACAACAAAAACAGGAAGAAGTCTTTACACCACTGTTCCACAGAATGAAAGGCCATCTCTTTCAGCCACCTGAGCCCAGTATGCAGATACTTATTTTTGTTCAATTCTTAAAAATAGAACTGCTAAATAAAGGAACACTAACAGATATGTACAGATTTTTTTAAATTAAAATTTTTATATTTTATCTGTTAAAATATCTTTAACGGATATTTTCTTTTCTTCTATAATGACAGGCTCCAGTAAATTAAGGAGCTGAAGTCACTGCAAGAGGATCTAAACTGTCAGTGGTGACAACCTGAGAGATATCAGGCTATCTACAGCTTTCCCAATGAATCACTAGGCAGAAGTCACCTTTGTGACCTAATGGTTTTAGGAAACATGCACTGACTGAGGAATTTTAAAGCATAATTAAGAGGATGAGTCTCTCCCGCAAGGCAGGTTTAAAACCCATTCAAAGAAAAAAGTTTGCTCAGCTATTAGAGGGAGGGAAATATCTTATTCTGCAAAGAAATATTTTTCCTACTATTTTGGCAGGGCTTAACTATCATCATCTACACAAGGCTGCAGGACATCTGAGACAGCCAAACCCAGCACAATCAGAAAAGTAGATTAGGCACTTAATCTAATTTTCATTGCAGCAACATTCATATTTCCTCAGAAACACCACGGTATTTGGAAATGATAACATTGTTCTCTCTTGACGTATACTTACTCGAATGATTAACCTAACTGCTACAACACCAGAAGTGGCCATGACTTTGGCACTATTTGGAATTAGATTAAAAATTGTTGGCATGATAGCTTCTGCCCCATGGTCAAACTTGTTTCCCAGAACTGATGACAAATGTCTGAAAAACAGAATGAAGTCATGCTGGTAAGCGTGCTGAGGATTAACAGAGTCAGACTTCTACAGAACATCTGACATAAGCACATCTGACACCTCAATCTTCACAACTGTCACCTCCTCTCCAAAGGACAGAGAACACCATGTTTCAAAAAACAGTCCTTTACTTTCATTTCAAACTTGTGTTCTGTATTCATCTGAACTCTGAGAAACAGTAAGTTCAGCATAAAGTAACTAGCACAGCTAAAAATTTATTATCAAATGTATTTTTTCTGAACTTGTTAGTTTATATTGGTTTCCTGAAACTCCTTATTTTGCCTTAATACGCACAAATTTCAAAAAAGCTGTTAGTAACACTGCAGTGCTCTTTTTCTTGAAGCATTTCGCAAAGGATAAACCATCAAAAAAACCCTAGCTCAATCCAAACCAGAACAAAACATCCACATTTTCAGCTTTACTGTTCAATCCTTCTCTACTTGATGCATGAATGCATGGCTTGCTCATTCATTCAGCATCTCTCAAATCAGCACCGTTTAAAACTCAGGAACACAGTCTGGCAGAACTATTAGTGGCCTACATGGACATGGTTTTCAATAGCTGTAACAAAAACATATTCTAGCTATAACCATGTAGTACTACCAGTACAAGTTACATGCTAAATGATTTAACCAGTGTCTGTTCCTCTTTTCTACATCGCCTTTCAAGTGCATTTAGAAAGTAAACTCACCCCAATGTGATACAAGCCTCTCGTACTACTTGAGACCGCAGGTCTTTAGCGGATAATTTAAATGCTCCATCCAGAAGTCTTAAGTGTTGGAAGAAGTTATCATATTCTGCAGCTCCAGCCAAAAGTAAGGAGCGGATCTTTTTCAACTGTTAGCACCACAAAAGAAAGCAGTGACTGTTAATGAGCAATAAATAGAAGGACAGTTATGTTCAGGGCCGATACTTGGTTTCCAGGGTCCTTGTACCATTGCTCCTCAACATGCATTGAGGAATTCTGTTCTTAGAGTCCAAGTAATTTTATTATTTCAGATCTTGTATTCAATCATAGGTTAACATACTAAGTATGATAATATAAACACACTAGCTAACTTTTATAGGAATCCAGAAATGTTGCATACAGCTACTCAAATGATATTGTTAACAACCGAAACATTACTTTTTAAGCCAAAAGATACCTTAAAGGTTCTCCTTATTCCCCTTAGAAACCACTTATTTACAACAGCTTCGGTCCTCTCACAGCTGACTATTGTATTAAAAAGATGACTAGACTTAAAGGGCATGGCTCATACTCAGATCTGAGTAACACCAACTTATATCTAGAATATGTCCATTAACTTCATTAAAATTATTATCCAGCTTTACTAGAAGTGGAACCCTGACCACATCAAAATGGGAAATCTCCTGTTAATATTACAAGGACCACCATTTCATCCTATAGATATTCTTTTGGACACCTTCATAGGCCCTCGTATAATGATCCATCTGTACAGTGCCTCAATTTAAGTTCACTGTCACTCAGTACAGCAAACAAAAAACCTGAAATAAGCTGAATCAGCACGGTTAGCCACTCAGATCTGTAATACAGGATTTGACAGACATGTCAAAGTTGCTACACCGGTGATGAAAGCCTACAGTGTAGACAAGATCATGCATCTATTTACATCATGAAAACACAGCTCACCTCAGTAAATAAAACTCAGTCTTGGCATGCATATAACATCTGATTTTCCACTTCTATATTTCCCAGAGTCATATTTACTTATTCAAAACCCAAGTGTGTAAATTCTTTCTGACTTATTTTACACCTCCTTTTGCAAAAGTATAAATAAGTTCTCTATAAGCAAAGTGACTTTCTGCCTCATCAGGAAATTTTAAGTTATTCTGAATACCACTTTTGACATTTTGATTTCAGCATCTGCTAGCAAGTTTCTAGCTTCAGAGCTGGATTTGCTGCATGAATTCTAGTTCAACCTGATGCCGTCTCAACAGATTCTTGTATATCAAATAGCATTTTCCTTCACAGATGTGGTTTAAATTCAGTCTCATAAAGAAACGTTTCCCCCAAGCTTGGGGGAACATAACAGATGCTCACCACTTAAACTACATTCTAGTCTTACTCTGAGGTTCTCCCAGTACCCTCTTCATGGGATTAAGCTCAGTGCAGAAAAACTTTATATTAACAGAGTTCGTATTTAAGTTCACTACTTACCGCAGAAACTCTCTGTTCCCAGTCATGCTTATCATCTGATAGTATCTCTCTTATTTTGTTTATGGATTCCTCAAGATCCCGGCTGGAATAAATCTGCAAATTTAAATACAGAGTAGCACTACAATGCAAGATTTAGTCCAGACAAATCAGATCACTTCCCAACTATATTCTTACATCTTTGCTCCTCAGTGCCTAAACATCATGTGCTAGCCTTGGACACAGCTGGCTTTGCATAATGCAAAGAATTTACACCCATTTCCTGCAATCAAAAATTACTAAATGACCACAAGATGATTAAAGGATCATCTTTTATTATTTTACTATACTTTCACAATTTTAAGCAGCATTCCTGCAGCTACTAGTGACTATGCTAGTCAAGACCTACAGACAATCACGAGTGAACATGTGCTGTTCAGTTATCCGAAAAATAAAGCTCTGGTGAAGGAGAGGGGATACACGACATCTCAGCTATTCAGCTAAATCTATCAGCAAACACGCACTGTCCAGCTGTCACAGTCAGAACAGCAGCAATCCTGGAGACACAAGTGACCTTTATTGCTTTCATTTCCTAGATGGTACAGATGAAATGCAGAGACGCTTCTGCTGACTTAAGTTTTTGTTCAACCAAACTGCACTGTGCAGCATGCATGTCCAGTTCCAGCTCCATGTCCATTGCTGTGATAAGTCTATCACAACCCTCCCACCCCCATTCCCTCCACTTCTGAGATTTTCACACAAACTACTGGCAGATACCACCATTTAAAACTTGCCTACTTCTAACTTGCCTTCCCCCTAAAGAAGATTTGTCAACATCATAATGAAGCACAGTTTGCCAGTGATTAGGACTAGATTCTATATCCATCTTCTGCTTTTTAGTACTGCGTGTTTTAACACATAATTCTACTTACCTGAACTGTTGGGACATCTTCAAATGCCTTAATGAAGTCTTCTTCATCCACAGCACCTGCTCCCTCTTTGGCTGCTGACATACAAATGAAAAAGCCTTTTCAATCTTCTTATCAACAAGAGAATCAATTAAGAAACCACCAGCTATCAAGGAACCTAATCAGGACAAAGTTCACTATCCATGCAGCCTCAGAGTGCTGCAGATGTAATGAAAGTAGAGACATGGAAATGCAATGCCAGGCACAGACTAGACATGCACAGCATCCTTCAACTCCTAGGCACAGAGGGCACATTAGGGAAATCATTACAGTAGTCACTCAACAGTTAGGGGACACAGTCTGAAAGATGAAAGGGAATATTTACTTTAATTATATGGGAGATTTTATTTTAAAGGATTTAATCCTATCTATAATACATGAAGGTTCAGATCTGACAGGTGCACAAACAGACAAATGATAAGGAAGATAAACGGTCTCTGGAATACTAATCAGATTAGAGACTGTCTGATACAGAGAACTTTCTCCATTTCTCTAGGTCACATGTAGAACTACAATCACATGTAGAATCACTGCTCACATTCAGAATTACTGCTCAGTGTTTTTTCTGCATCTTCATTACCAGCAATGTCCAAAGATCTTAGAAGCAAGCCGACACCTCAGTTTTAGACTGCATGGACTGAAGTTTAGCATGTAGCTGTAAGCAGCCCGCCTCAGCTCAGCTAAAGAGTTGCAGCTATAAAGGCAAAAATTACAGGCTGCAACATTGACATTATTTACGCACAGCCCTCAGTGGATAATCTCACTGGTCCAACCTTTTGCAAACATGAAACACATTATAGGGACGTGGGGACTGCTTGGAGGTTCATCCTACCAAGGTTCGGTCACGGCATGCAGACAATGTACACATAATGATTTCACAGGGAAAAATTTGTTACTGGATCCTGGGGGCCAGTCTGGAAGCCCTTGCAGTAAACTTGAGCATGAACACTATAAGTACTTCACATAAAGGTCAATTCATATATGCTATCGGCTTACTTGAAGACTTGGAGCCCAGAGCTGCAGACCCAAGCCTGCGGGTAGTCCCCATCCCAACTCTGCGTGAGTTTGCAGGGGCCTTTGAAGATGTAGAGGAGCTAGCTGAGGAAGGTCTGTTCCCATCCACGGAGTCTTCATCATCAAAAATTTTATCTGCCAAAAAAAAAAAAGCACACTCAGTGGTAAGTCCAGTGAAGCAAATGGATGTCCCAAGGAACATGCCCATACGATGGCAAATGTGCTGCATGTTCAGGTCTGCTCTGCCAGCTCTTATCTCAGCAGTATCTTCATGCTAGAAATCCAGTTATTCACAAAAGACCACCAAACCCGATCCTTTGCTATTGCAGCCACTATGTTATAAACCCTTTCAATGAATGCATTCAGATAAAAAGAATAAACTTCAAATCCACAGTAGAAAGATGCAAGCCACAGATAACACTTGGGGTGTCTACAGTCTGTATCTCTGATGTTTATGCCTCAGAGAGCTATTTTGCCATGGGCTGTAGTGAAAATAAGACCATGAGCAAATCCAAGACCCAAGTGTGGAGGGGATCAGGCAGCACAGGCTGCCCTGTCACTCCATGCTAACTACTGGTACCAGACTGAGAATAAACAGGGTAACCCAGGAAAGATCACACGGCAACTCCCATGCTGTTGATAAGCCACAGACCATTAATCACAGACCCAACTAGAGCTACAAATCCACTTTATCTTTTTAAATGATCACCAGAGATTTTTTACAAGGAAATAGAAAAAGTTACCTCAAATTCAAGAAAACCCACAAATATAAGGTGTATTAAAACTTACTGAACCTTCTGTGTACATCCAAAGTGAACTGCAGCCTCTCCCTCCAAACATGAACATAAATTAACTTAAAATTAATTACAGTCACTTTGATTCTCAGTGAAGGTCACTTCAATTCCAAAGGAGTGCTTATATTGCAGTTTTACAGAGATTAGCTAATCCACTTTAAAAACCAGCCTTAGGTTGAAAGGTGACAAAGTGTTTGGACAGATGATATAGATGGCACGCATTATTTATTGAGGCCAGAAAGCCACCTCAGTCTCCATCACTTAGCTTCTCCATGCTAACACTTCATTCAAGGTTTGAGACCTGCTTCACGTCCATCCCTCTCCAAAAACCCAAGGTATGCACCCGCTCTCCACCAGTTCAGGGATATTTTCTTTGCAAAATTTCACTTGGCAAAAACTCAAAGAGGTGCTTTAATCCATCCCTATTCAGGAAAGCACCCAGGAACATCTAATAACAAACACAGGCTCCTAGTTAGACACTAATGAGTGAAATTCAATACAGGTTGAGCTTTCTGAAAGTAAGAAAATGAACTGATAACTCTATAGACATATTCTAGAGGAAACAAAAGAAGAAAAAAAAGCCTGTATTGTCCTCAGCCCAACAGCCTTAAGGAGTTTTCCCTGTCCCAAGTAGTATTGGTTTATTAGCAGCTGGACACAGGGGAACCATCACAGATCATCTAAAAACCTAAAGCCCACATTTCCAATATGTACCCATGTACACGATGCCATACTCCAATCACAGTACAACATTGAAATAGCAGGTAGACAGCAGCATCCAACAAGTCAAGAAAGGTGGCCAAGGACATCTCTCCTCTTAATTTTTATGTTCAAGAAGTCTTGGAATATGGGAAAGGGCTAGGAAAAAGTAACATCTAAAGGTAAGGCGTAATATAATAACAGGTACTTGGACTGCTGTTCAGGCAAAAGTAAGCAAGACAAAAGTGAACATATGAACTTTAACATCAAGAAATTTAAGGTCACACAGCTAAGAAGAAGAACGTAAGACACTTTTAGGATGTGGGCTCCCTCTTTAACACAGTGCCCTAGGGCAGCCATGGAGACTGTGCTACCTTCCTGTTGACACTGGTCATGTTCCGACACAGGTAATTAAAAAATAATTTGAACAGAGCTCAGGGAAGAACCATGAGAATGATTAAAGGATTGGAAAATATGTTTTTAATTCAATTAAATGAAAATTCACTGCAGAAGACTGTTTAACCTGGCCAGATTCTTAACAAGTTGCTTATTTATATTCTTTGTTAACACAGAAACTGAAGATTTATTAACATAGTTTTCCAGTGTGATTTACTAATATTGTTTCTCACCTAATAGAAAGATACACAAAAAGGCTACTGGCTGAAGGTTAAAACCAAATTAAACTCTTGAATTGGAATTACCTTTTTTCTTCCCCTCCATTTTCTGCAATTATCACAGGACTGACACTCTGTGAGGTTAGAAGGTGTGTCACCCAGAAAATTCTACTACAGGCAGTTCTTAAAAAGCAAGATTGATTCCCCCACCCCACCCCCAAAGTTATAATCTAGTTCAAACAGGAATTATTTCAAAAACATTATTTTGTGAGACTTGCACAGAAGGTCATGGCAGATCAAAATAGACTTTAAAACATGCAATCTCTGAAGGCTCTAGGAAGGCGTTTATGTGATGCAGAAAGACTTGCACAGACCTCAAATACAAAAACTTCTGAGCAGAATTTGCCCCAATTGCATTTATTTCAAAAGCTCCTATATAGATATTAAGCAAAAGATTGTCATATATATATATATATAAACAGCCAAGAGAAAGTCAGTCAGATGCAAAACAAAAGATAGTTTACTACTTCAAAACCACTTTCATCTGGTAGTAAAATTCTCCATCAGCTGCTTTTCAGGCTATCTAGATGTAGTCTTAGTTAACTCACTTCCTCTTGTATACATTTTTAAAGCCTCACCCCTCTGAAAGAAGAAGAGGGTGTGGTTTGCTATTTCATATAAAGAATAAAAATTCGGAAAAACAGATATTAAAAGGATCATACTCCTGTAGCATTTTAGCAATTAAATGAACTATCATTTTTATTTAAAACAGGCTTTTCTGAGCATTAGCAAAAAAATCCAACACTCCAAAAAACCCACCAGCCCGCCCACAGTTTTGGGGATGTTCAGATTACAATCACATCTTCCTGTTCATTAAGTCTGCAAACTAACCATTACATATTTATCAGATCAGAATATCCCTTCAATAACCCAACAGCATTTTCTCATCTGAGCAGTGCAGAATGACAGCGCCACATTCAGAACTGCACATCAAGTCTTCCAGCAGCACGTGTGCAGGACAGAAAGAGAAACAAAGAACAGAAAGAAACGTGAACATAGGAGTACAGAAAATGAGAGAAAAACAAGGTACTACACATTATAATTAAAATGACTTTTTCTTTTTTTTCCATTCATTGACTCCTGTTCACAATAATCATTTGAACTAAGATCATATTTTTTGCAGCCTATCTGCAAATCACAAGATGGTAAATCCAGCATGGGTGTAACTCTCATGACTCCGGCAGAGGTGCACTGAAGCGGAATCGGTGCCACATTCTAACATTAAATAACCATTGATGCTCCCCCATCCCAAGACCCCCTCCAGTGCTCATTTATAAGGGCCACATAGTACTCTCCATTAGAGACATGCCCTTATAAAAGCGGCCTTTGTCTGCTCACCACTGTGCTGTCTGAGAGAAACAGAGAACACAATTTGCTTTACATTTTCCAATTCCTTTACATTATTTAAGAAGAAAAAAAAAATTGCTTACAAGTACATATCCTTCTGCAAATAAGCTTCCTCAACATTCCTTCATATTTTCCATAGCGTGCCCAGATGTAACAGTGCTTCACAGAGCGCCGCGGCTTTCAGTCCAGAACATAATCAATCATTGCCCTTCGTATTCATTAAGCATGCTGTCTTCACACGTGGATTTAAACAGCTATGGCTTCAGTCCTCTTTCTACAACTGCGGCTCTGCAGGATTCTCATCAACACCCATTTCAGCTCAGGAAACTTCAGTTCACTTCTAGGAAGGAAATTCCCTGCTAGCGAGGGGAACCCAGGACAAATAATCTGAGATGAAGACGAGCTGAGTCTGCCTGGCTGGGCTGGCTTGCACTAGGAACCAGCCTGACTTTATCCCCTGGGAAGCGCTAACAGGAGCATCTCAACAGCTGTCATCATTTGTCCATGACGAATAAATTTAGTCATTATTCATTTTAAAACGTAACCCCTTCAGGTCTGGGCAAGGTGTAAAATGGGGAGAAGAGACTGTGCTAGTTGTTCAGGAACCACAGTAAACAAGGGCCAGCGTTTCCCCTGCCTGAACTGCCAGCCTGGGACCTTTTAAAGCAAAGTAATTGAGTCTCAAATTTCCTTTCCAATGAAAGGAGATGCTTTCTGGCTTTTAAAAACTTCAAGATGTCAGATTCAATCTTTTAGTTATTTGTCTGTAAGCTTTAGAGAAGATAGCTACTCTGTAGTGACTACAGATTGGGAAAAAAGCTTATGATCACGTTTGTTCCTAATGAAGATGCCCTGCTATGGTCTTCAGGTCCGACTCTGCAAGGTACTAAACTTGCTCTGGCCCTGCTGTGCCCATTTATCCTATGTCCCATCTCCAAGTGTCAGCACAGCTGAAGTTTGCAACACATACAATTTGCAAGTATCGCCTGCATCTCTCTCATGAGAATCTCCCTTTTGGGTGCAGATGAAGATGGATGGCACTGGAGAAGCCTGCCTTCCCACCCACCACATGGTGTCCTGCACCAGGAGCAGACACACAACTGCTAAAGCTGATATATGTTTCAGCGCACTGAAACCCCATGCTCAGCCTCCACTAGGTGGGCAAAGCCCAGCTCCCTGAGGATCTGAGAGCCCCCTGTAAAAGCTGAGAACACGCACAAGCAAACCCACTGATGACAAAGAAAACAGGGTATGTTCCTCCTTACTCCTTTTTGTCAGACATGACCTTGTATGCATTGGTCAATGTTTTTGAGACAGACACCCCTTGGACACCTCAGCTCATGCCCTCCCCCAAGGCCAGCATCTGGCACCCCGACCTCCAGCTGTGACTCCCGTAGAACACAAGACATAGTTCACCCCTCTGCAGGCGTCCCACCAGCCTCCAAGTGAGACAGCTTCAGCCAAGGCTAAATGCCTCTTCCCATTAACACACACCAAACCCATGCATGGCTTAGCTGTATGCCTGCCCAACTCCAACATAGGTATTGTACAGGTTTCTCCAGGAAGTGAGTTTCTGACCCCACTAAAGGGACATGCATATGCTCCTTAGCAGGACTAAATG